GACTATGTCTAATTATGGTTAAAATTATAACCTTTATTTTGTAAAAAGGAAACAACATTATGAAATGGTCATCAATTGTGCATGGGGTCAAAGCGATTTTGTCAACTTCTTAATCCTAGTAAGAGGCCGTATTAATCTGTATTTCAGCAGGGGACCTACATCACATTTTCTTTTGAGAGACTTTATTTGCAAAATGTTAATGATTTTCATACTGGTTATTCATCCCCAAATTCAGTATAATGAATAGTATTTGGGAAAAAAAGAGAACAAAAAATTTATTTTATAGTACAAACATTTCCTTCTCCATGAGACTCACACAAATGAGAATAAAGGGAAGAAATGGCCAAATGAACAATTATTATGGATAGGAAGGCCAAGACAAAAATATTTTATGTCCTTTCTTAAATGTCACATTGCTATTTTGCAACTTTCTAAAAAATAATTTAATTAATGATATGAGGTGGATTTATAGTTTGATGAGAAATCTTTTTATATACTTGTACAGGATTAGGGAATTTTGTTCCTCTGGGATAGCTCAAAATCACCATTATTTATTTGATAATAATTGAATGAGGTACACAAATTAGGATTTGGGACACAATTATGTCTCTAAATATATCTTATGCATATCAAACATATTGTCTGAATAATTTTGTACAACATCAATTTTAATAATTTTATATAATTAAGCAATTTCTATTTCAGCTTATAAAAGTCTCATGTTTGTATATATCCCCCTATATCCAGATATGTTTAGTGCTCTACTGAAAATATCTTTCCTATATACAAGATATAATGAATGATTTTATGAATCAAATATTTATTGTGTATCTAGATTGTGATTTATTTATTTAGTTTGTGATTTAAACATTGGTTATTGAGCTTGGAAATCCAAACATAATGCAATATAACCCAGTTAAGATGACCTTAGAGTGTTTATGGAAATGGATGACTTTCAGTATGAGTTTGATTTGATCAGAATTTAATTCAAAATTAGAACAGCCATAAATGGTAACTGATCAATATTGAAGGCAAATTCATGTTTTTTTTTATTTCAATTTAACAAATATTCATTAAGTACCTGTTGCGCCAGGTTTGAAGCTGTAGTTGCAACAATGAAAAAGATCCCCTATATTCACAGAGTTCACCAATTATATATTCAGTTATAAGTTGTATACTTACATATAATTCAAATTCAGCATATTGGAGGGTAGTGCAGATTACTATTTACTTACTTTAAATACAGAAAGTTCATGGTATCTTTTACTTGACCTGGATACATTAAGGTAGTAGAAAATGTTGAGACACAAACATATTTAAGTGTTTACTGGAATTTTTCATTAACAAAAAGATACTTTTTCCATAGAATGTCATATTTAATATATCTCACTATATTTAATCATGATGTTTATTAAGAAGATACTTTTCTGGTTTGTGAACTTGCCAGAAATTTTTTTTTTTTTTTTTTTTTGTGGGACCGGGGATCGATCGAACTGGTGCTGCAGAGGCTGCAGGCAGCCTCGCAACCCAGCGCTCAACCGCTGACCACTAGGGGAGGCCTGCCAGAAATATTTTTTATAATGCGATAAGGAAACTCATGGCAGCTTTTAACTACAGATTATTCAAATGACCAAGAACCTATTGGTGTCTGTCTTAATTTATTCTCATCTATTTTTACAGTGGAAGTAAAATATAATAAAATGTAATTACCTTGAGTTCACTTACATATTCAACTCTTTACTCTTCCAGGTTTTATGCTTCTTGTTTGAAGATCAATTAAATCTGTGCCTTATCTTCCTTTCTCTTGTATAATTAGAAATTGCTTTTTTGTTATAGTTTAAATATTTAATTATTAATCATTTATTTCCTTCTAGTGGGAGGGAAACTGTGTAGCAAAATAAATCCTTAATAAAACCTATGGAAAGTTCTACTTTTCTTGTGTTTAGCAAAGATAGATATGGAGTACAGTTAGACATTTCTCTAATACATTCTTGGGTAAATACCCAACCAAGCTTTTTTCTCTTTCTATTCTTCCTTTCTCTGATCTAAAAATCTAAGCAAGCCTCTATTGTCAACTGGGGCAGAAACATTAGGTATCCCTTTTGTTCAGTAAATAATCTGTGTCTCTAACAAATTTCTTAAAGTTAAAGAATTTTCGTTGTCCAAAAATGAATTTAACTAAATATTTTCCCACAAAATATATAAAATTAACTTTTAAAATATTTATACTAAAATTAGTATTTAAAATTATCATAAAATTATAAAATCAATGTGAGTTATACTAATGAATAAATGCAATTTTAACATTATCTCCTTGCAAATATTTAGGCTATCAAGTTCATCAAAAAACATAAGATAAATTGCATATTAAAACTCTCTTATGTGGGCTGTTGACATTTAACAGCAAAATAGGATCTAAGCCAGATATAAAAAAGGACATTTTTTTAAATAAACTCTCCATAATTAAATACTGAAAATTTATAAATCCTCTTAGCCAGAATTACTGCCAGATGCCATAATTTGATTTTAGGATGATAAAAATATCATCCAGACTGATCACAATTGTAGTCCTAATTTGAAATTTTAACATGTAAGATTATGCTTGAATTATTATTGCCTCATTTCTAAATCTCTTTTCCAAGTAAAACCAAGCTCTTGAACCGAATATTTCTAAGAAACAAATGTCAACATTGGTAGCAGATTAATATTGTTGAAGAAAAGGATTTGATGAGATTATTATTCAATATAATATAATCAGATTCTATTTGAATATTTTTAGATAGGAAGTTGGAGATGGATACTGTGTTCCTTTAGTATGAGGTATTTGAATTAAAATGTGACTCCTGAAAAATACAGACTCTTTCTACAATGTTTGAGCTATTACCTTTTCTATTCACATTTTTTAAGTAGAGCTTTTCCAAATGTAGACTGAAAAATAACCTTCATTTCCTGGATAGCAGTCAAAATCTCTTCTTTGTCACCTAATGAAGAATTATTCCTAGAGCGGAAGAGCATCACCTAATGTCTCATGAGAAAGCTATTAGTATGAGATTTTCACATCTCTTAGATAGAAACTTAATGCCCAACATTAATGTAGAAATCCATTTTCAGAATCTTTCTTACATCTTACATCTCCCTTCTGCTTTGATGGAGGTTGTATGGTTAGGTCATGAAAAATAATGAACTGGGATTTAGAAGTAGAATGATTATCTAATTTCTTTTTGTTTCTTTTTTTTCCTTACCTGAGAAAATGGAACCAATAGTCAGTGAAAGAATTGATGATGGGAGTGGGGGTGATTTAAAATGTGGGCAACCTTGCAATGTCAGAATTAATCTGGAGGGTTTTATATACAATGCAATAAGGCATTTTAAATAGGCATACCACCCATGCTCCCACAAATATCCCGCAAGTGGTCTCACATTCTCCTATCTCCCTCTTTGATTTAAGGTAGATCTTAAAAATTTAGCTTGCAGTGCTGTACAGGAGAAATTATTTTCTTAAAGTCACAATAGAAGATGAGGTCAGTTGCCGTCTTCATCACTAACAATCTTTCTTGTATGAATTTTCTTCTAGTGGATATATGTCCACCTAACTTCTTGTTTACTCAACTTCTCTTATAATAGGAATGGTCATGGGATATTATTCTGGCCAAGAAAATGTATACATCATCCTCGGGAGGCTTCTCTTCTCAAATAGTCAGAGACTCACAAAAATGAAGTATCTTATTTGCTCTTCTGTCTTCGACCTCCAAAACTTCAGAGCAAACATCTTTAGATCCAGTAGCCATCTTGTTCCTATAAGGAATAAATCCTACACTGAGGATGATATAGTAGGCCATGGGACCTACAAAGCTGTTAAACTATTCTCTGCAGTTGTATCCTGCAGACATATTATGTGAGAAAAATCCTTCCCTCTCTATTTAAACTGTTAGCTTCATTTTTGTTGCTTTTAACTTACTGCTTTATAGACTATGGTTTATGTTAAAGTCTGTTTGTATTGGATAATAGGGAGAAATGTGGCAAACATTGGGTAGGAAAATTTGCTGTTTTTTTTCTAACCAATTTATTCAAATAATAAGAACAGCATTTTAGAGGAAATATCTTACACATTTTTTTTCTGGATAATATAAAGCTATCTGAAGGAAAATCTATGTATATGATCAACTATGGGGACATATTAACAGATCAAGTCAAGTGCTGTGAAATAGAATGAAGTAAAATTTGGCTTTCATGGATTTCACTCACAGCCATGCAATTATTCCTGTGGGCCAGGATTTTTATTTATTATATCTTGTTTTGTGTTGTTCTTAAAGAATAATTTTATTAATTCCATTTGAGATGACAGAACATTTTTGTGATTGAAGTATTAGTTTTAGTTTCCATTTTGTACTAATTATTTACCTACTCACACCAATCAGTGTCACATTTTTCTTAAGTTGACAACTTGTACCACAGCTCACCAAAATATTCACACTCTGTGACCTTGGAATGTCATTTGTGGAAATTTATTCTAAAAGAACTAATCAGAGATAAACAAATACCAAAAAGAAGGATTGTCTAGAAAAATGCTATTAATTTATCCTGTGGCCTATCATATCCTCATTAAAATCAACATACAATAGCATAATACTTAATTACCATTAGAAATACATAATGTAAAATAAGATAAAACTAACAGGTTATAAAATACTATATGCAATATCATTCTAACTGTATCGGGGAATAAAACAAAAAAAATTAATAGTATCTGTACCAAAATGTTAAGAGTGTTTCCCTGTAAGCCTTTTGGTTATGAGTGGTTGGTTTTCTTTATATTTTTCTATCTTGAAATTTCTGACTCATTTCACATGATTCAATGAAATATATTTTAAAAGATATCTTGGCTATTAACAAGGTAATGCTAACATTGAAAATAGTTTAAGAATAAATAATTTTATTGACTACTTTTCTCATTAACAAGAATTATGATAACAAATTTCTGTTTGTTTGTTTTAATACAGAAATCCTAAATGGTGGAGTCTATGTAGACCAGAACAAATTCCTTTGTTATACAGATACAATTCATTGGCAAGATATTGTTCGGAATCCATGGCCTTCCAACTTGACTCTGGTGTCAACAAATGGTAGCGCAGGATGTGAGTAGCACTGTCCTTTATAATGTCTCAGAATGTTCTTCTACCCTGTTTGAAAATGAATAACATGATTATTATGACATTATAATTTTTTGCACTGCGGTTGTGTCCATTGAAATTTTCTGTTATATATGGCATATGGAAGAAATGGCTGCCCTTTTTCTTCTAATTAACTTTCTTTTTGGAATCATACTTCCCCTTTACAAATTCTCATTTTTTTAACATGACCCCTTTTTGCTAAATCTGAAATATTTGTTCATATTTCCAATGTCCAAATGTTTGCCAGAGTATCCATGCATTTAAGACTGGTGTCTAGCTACTGCTTCAGATCTTTGTCAGTCAAATACCACTGAGAAAAAGGTAGTAGAGCAAAAATGGGTTCTTTCCAGTAACTGAAAATTTTTAATTAAAAATGTTAAAACTAGTGAAAATTGTAGAATTTCTAAGCCGTCATTTGCCCCTAACTTTTCTTGTAACACTTTATAACAATTTTAAAGACTATAAATAGAGTGAAGAAATATAGATTTAGTACGGCAGAAATATATTGCATTCTGATTTTTGTCATTAGCATAATATACTACCCAATTTCCTATGTTATTAATTTTTTTTGACTTTTTATTTATTTTTGCCTACAATAACTAGGGGATAGGCCAGAGGTGCAGGGTGAGAGGATTCACCAGCAATAGACTCGGGAACAGAACAGGTGGATCTACTGAAATACACTGCTGAGGCGAGCAGCAGGCGAGACAGGAGAGGTCTGCTACATCATGTGCATTAGCTCCCTGGCTGGGGATCAAACTCATGCTGCAGTAGCTGGCAATAGCTTGATAACACTGAGACTTTAACCCATGTGCCACCAGGGAGGCCCCCAATTTCCCATTTTTAATGTGCATATTCTTTCTACCACAGGGGATTTATAAGACTCAAAGTGTTTAATATGATTAAATGATAAGTAAATAATATTTAAACTGTCACTAAAACATTTGGAAATTATTCTGTCTGGAATCTGTTTCAATTCCATAAAGTAGGCTGTTGTCCCTGCATTTATTTTTACTGACATTTGTATGAGAACAGAATTGTTATCAAGTGTTAACTTGGGTTTTGTATTTCTCATCTATTATTATGCATTTCCCACCTGAAATTATAACTACCTTCTCACAATTCAATAATTATTTGCTGTAGTACTGATTGTGTTATGACACTTTTGTAGAAAAATCAAACTCCAAGGGACAATTATTAAATTTCATGATGGTCCTAACAATATAATGGGAAAATATGAATATATTTGATCTAAACTGACAGCTGTGTTTTTAATAAATGGCTAATTTTTTTTAAAAAGTAGAGTAACAATTTTCTTGTCACATCTTCAAGTAGAAATTTGTATGAGATTTCATCTTTGTTCAAGTTGCCTACCTTGTAAAATTACATATGAATGAAATATTGAATCTTTTCATTCTAACAAGACAAATGACGTGCTTTAGAAATGAATTCCATTTTCAGCATGTCCATATTGTGGCACATTTTATTTGGGGAAGGAGGAAGGCATAATAGTTTGATAAAAGGAATGTTGACTCTCATCTTGTCAAAGTGACTAACCTGTAATGCATAAATGAGGCCAGAAAAGTGTAAACCCAACACTGAAGCCAAAAGAGAGAGTACTCACTGATCTTACAGGGTGTAGAAAAGGAAAGGTCTGAGGGGTTTGCTGTTCCTTAGCAGATAACATCTTTTTTGTGTTACTCTTTTGAGGACACATTTGGGTGGCTGTGCCTACAATTAGGCAAACATAGCTGTATTTATTTTTGCATGCAAATAATTGCTGGTGCAAAAATCATAAATGCAAAGTAGAGTCATAACCAATGGTCCTTTGCAAGTTAAGCTCCAAGTGTTTGTTGACATTCTATTTTTGCATAGCAGTCCTATTTGCTGCCACACTATACATTTTAAATGACATAATAGCAGATAATAATGAATTGCTTATCCTTGAATATTGGCTTCCTATGTTTTTATCTTTTCCATCTTCTCCCTATGGATGACCTTAGGCACTCTCATAGTTTTAAATGCAATTTCTTCCCTGATGACCAACCAGTAAGTCACCCAATTAAAAAATCTAGTGATCATCATTTGGGCACTCTCCTTGACTCTTTACATTTAATGAATCACTACATCATGATGATTTTTGCCCTTTTATTTTATTTTATGTGTGTCTTTTTACCATTGCCTTAGTTCATGACTTTATTTGTTGCCTGAGTTACTGAAATAACTTCTAAATTCCTACATTTTTTGAGGTCAGTGCACCCTTGTGAAACCCAGAGATTCCCTTCTTAAAATGTTTTGAAGTGAGTGAATAAGTACAAAATAAACAATTTACATCAAAAATACATAAATTAAGTTTTAAAATACCAGAAAAGAAATAAATCATATTGAAATGCATTTATAAACATGTTTAAAAACACATGATAAATTAATAGTTTTCTTTATTGGTATGTTAAATAAAAATTCTAACAGTAGGATTAATATGTAACTAATTTTGAAGCAGTGAACAGCATGAATGATATTTTCAAAGGCTAGTCACTTAAATAAATGGTGTTGGGGAAATCAGATACCCCTGTGGACATCCACATAGATAAGACAGGAATTGGACTTATGTCTTGCACTATATATAAAATTAACTCAAAAAGGATCAAAGATCTAAATGTGATACCAAAACCATAAAATGCCTGGAAGAAAATATAGAAGAAAAGCTTTATGACATTGAATTTGGCAATTATTCTTGTATATGACACCAAAAACACAAACAACAATAGCAAAAGTAGACAAATAGGACCACATTAAACTTAAAAACTTCTGTGCTTCAAAAGACATAATCAATACAGTGAAAAGACAACTTATGGAGAGTAAAGAGTTATAAATTATATAGCTGATAAAGGATTAATATAAAAAATACATAAAGAACACTTATAACTCAACAAAAAATAATGCCCAGAAATGGGCAAATAATTTGAATTCTCTTCCCAAACCTTTGATGGTCAGCAGCCCATTCATTCAGAGCCACAATGTTTAATTGCTTTCTTTGTCTCCAGTCCTGACAAACCCACCTAACAAAATGTCAGCAAGAGCTCTATTTAATGGAAATCTAACCATGAGTTTGTCTACAAACTCTCCCAAGGACAAGTGTTGGGTCAATTCTAAATAAAACAAAAGGTCTGGAGTTTTCAACAGACTGCTTCTTTTTCTCCCATGTATGGAATTTCACCCCTGTAAGGTATGAGTGATTCCAATTTCTTTGTTTTGTACTGCCCCTCCTTTTCTGTTTGCCTATCTAAATTTTTGTCATACTTTTAAGACATCTATTAGGCGTTATCTCTTCTAAGAAGTGTTCTTTTTTACTGGCTAGATTAGGTTGCTTTCCCTAGGTGACCCCATAAAGACCAGTGTTGAAAAGTGACATTTTGTGTCACTCTAAAATGAAATTCCTTGTGAAAAAATAATAGATAACAAATATTTACTGAATAAATAAAAATGAAACAAATCAGTTCATAAGTAGATAAATCAAATGAATCCAAGATATGTTTTCTTGCATCAATCATTTATATACAAAATAATGGATTGAAATGAAAATTATAACTCACAAACAAGTTTATCCATTTTAAGTCTTTTTCAGGTAAAGATGGCAATATGGAGCTATGTCCTTAATTTATTTCATATAATTACATTTACATTATATTTATATTATACTGTAAGATAAAATAGATCTACTTTTTCTTGCATGTTTAAAGAGACTAATTTGTATAATACTTGTAAATACATAGAAATCATGTGATTTTGACAAAAAATTAAGAGTAATTGTTTCTTAAGTGATATTATGCAAAGAATTTCTTAATACATATTTTGGTAAAATACTAATTTTTATTTTTTTATTGAGGTAATGTTTGGTTACAACATTGTATATGATTTAGAGGCATAGGTTTCCACCTCCTCATGTTACTGGGCAGGGTGAGGGACACTCCTGAACCCCCAAACCTGCCTGCTCTAAATAGTTTCTGCTATCTACTGTATTAAGACAAAATATATTGTAGTGCATAGACCTTCAGTGGAAAGTAACTTTAATACAATTAGTGTGCAACACAGAAAAGACAAAATAATATAGTTTCCAAATCAGGCACCAAAATTTCCTGTCTCCTTGTGGGAAAATGTCCAGCCAAACAGGGTTGGCCCATAACAGGAACACTGAGGCACAAAAGTTAGCCATAAGTCCAAGGTACCTTCTTGGGGACCCATGGGAAAGGGGCAGAAGGGGCCAGACAAGTCCAGAAGGAAAAGAGCAAAATCAAAATCAAGGGGTCTTCCTGGTGGAGCAAGGGGTTAAGACTATGAAGCAATCTGCAGTAGCACACATGAGTTCGATCCCCTGTCAGGGAGGTGATCCACATGGTGTAGCAGACCTCTTCTGTCTCGCCTGCTGCTCCCCTCAGCAGTGTATTTCAGTCGATCTGCCTGTTCTGCTCCCCACTCTGCCTCTGGTGAATCCTCTTACGTCCCAACCCCCACACCTCTGGCCTGTACCCCGGTTCTTGTACACATAAATAAATAAATCTTTTTAAAAAACCCCCAAAACAAAATCAAGATAAACACTGCCATTCTTAGCCTCCTCAGGGGTCTCTCACCCACATAGGTTTCAAGTGTCTTCTACCATGTCCCCCAAGTCCTGGGAACCAGCCCAAGGCCAAGAAGCAAATTCAGCTTCTTCACCATCTCTCTGCTCCATGTGCCTCCTCCAGGTCTTCTCCTTGTTTTCCATCTCACTTCCTCCAGTCTCCTAGTCTCCTTCCCAGCTTCTCCTCCCTGCTAAACTCCACCCTTCCTTGGGTGGAGCAGGGGGCCTGGGACCTCCCCTTTTCCTGGGGACAACCCTGTTGCACTCAGATGTAGGTCACCACTCTCAACCATCCAGGTACCCTCATCCTCCACAATAGTCCACTGAAAACACCAATTCTTAATGC